CCTGGTCAGACACGTTGTGCACTTTGGGCTCCGAATTTTCTGCAGGTGACTGCGCAGCTCCATCCGAAGCTGTGGACATTTCACTGTGAAGCGATTTGCTTGGAAGAGGAGATTTTGAGGAAGCGTGGAGTGCAGGTTGCTCGCTATTGAGTTGCAACGGTTCACTCGAAAGCAGAAACTCCATCCCTTCTTTAGACATTTTCAGTACTTCAACGTTTCGATGCACGTGGTGACGTCTTGAAGATGGTGGCTTTGATTTTCCTCCAGTTTCATACTTTTCACAGTTGCAAAATTCGCTCGAGACCAAGAACTCAAACCCATCACGGGACGTCGCTAGTGCCGTCCGGCAAGTGTCTGCCGTTTTCCGATTCACTGTTTGGTTGTGTTTCAGCACGTCCACTTTCGCTTGCTTGGGAAATCTTGGAAATGTTCATCGTGGAATCTGCACCTTTATTCACTTCTTCCTTCGAGTGGTTACGATCGTTGCTTACTGGCTGAATCGTCGGATTGTCGTAGGGTGGCAAGTCTACATAATACTTACGGTTTTCTTTTCTGGGCAAGGACAGGGTTGGATTGTTGGCAACGCTCGTTTCCCGTACCGTGCAAAAATGCGAGTTTCCTGAGTAGTGCTGTTGAGAAAACCGTATACTGAGCGACTGGTACGCCCATGAGGAGAGCGATCCTTATTGTCGTCCACTTCTGCGCCTAAGCCGTTGTTGAAGGACGATCCTTTTTTGACACAGCTTTCCCTAGCAGCTGTCTGTTTTTTGTCAATTCTGATATCGATTCCTTGCTTTTTTTCTGCTGGCTTCCTCACTACACAGATGGCCTCCTCTGAAACGAAGAGAAACACTGGAAAAGTGTCGCACACGGACAAGTAGTTGGAGTTCTAATTCACCTCCAGGAAACACTCCAACTTGTTTCTCTTTCGAAAGAATCTCGACCACCGCAGGTTTCATGGGAGCATCCACTTCTTCAAAATCCGTGTACTCTTCCTCTTCCTTGATGTAAATGTACATGGCATTGAAGTTGAAAGCTTGTTCTATCTTGAGAATAGTACTAGCCTATTTTGATGTGGGGGGACGCACTTCCGTGTTCCCTTCATTTTCGACGCCGTGAACAAAAAAGCTTGAATTTTTCTTATTCCCTTCTATTTTTGCGGACAATCTATGTTGGAAAAAAACTTAGAATAAATGAGAATGGAATGTGCAGAAACTGGGAACACCCGCTGATATGTCCTATGTAGAAACTAATGATGAAGTTGACATGTGGCAGAAACCGGGAAGCAGCCCGCTGAATATGTCCTATACCGTTGAACGTGTTGCACCTTCTTTACTACGCTTTGAAATATGATTACGCGGCGCACACACCTCAGCAAAGTCACAACTTTAGTATTGCGGTACACAGGGAAAAACCTGTAAAAATAGCTAGCTTCTTACAAATACCTTGGTCGATGTTTTCCTTTTTTCTTTCTTCTTTTTCAGGACATCTTCTTTTTCTGCATCTTTTATTTCTCCTTTCGAATCTTCACTCGGTTTAGCATGCATTCTTCTCTGCTTGTCACCTTGTTGATTTGTTTCGACATGGATCTCAGTTTTTTCTTCCACCGTTTCTCGCCATGGTCTTTGCTGCGAGCTGAAAATCACGCTCACCATAGAAATACAGTCGCAAGGAAAATCAAAGAAAACAATATTCATAAGCCCGAGTAGCAGAGTACAGGGCTTATAAATGGCGACGGACAGAAGATAAAGGGTCAACGAACTGTCACAATCTTCACAAATGCTGGACGCAATTTTATTAGGATTCAGCTAATCTTTATCGCTCTCGCAATCGAAGTAGAAATTGCTAACAAGCGTTCCAGAGAAGGGAACTCAAAGAAACCTTGAAAAAAAAGCCTGGACCTTTGTAGGGTTGAAGGAGCATGCGTAAGAAGCACAGTATCCATTCGGTAAGCGACTAAATCTACCCACACAAACCGCTGCCAGTAGACAAGGAATAGGACCGCCTTACATGCGATGCAGTCTGTAGAAGGATTGAGCTGTTTCCAACGTTTGCCTTCATTTTTTGAGCACTGTATCCTTGTGAGGTTGAAAACTAGTAGTCAGCTCAGGAAGAGCAGCAAACAGAGTGACATAAAAAAACTTAGTTGTCTGAGGAAGAGCGTCTACCGAATAGTTGTGAGAGCGCATTCAGTAGATGGTACCAGTTTAAACAGAATGGTGTGACATGTATTTCATTCTCTTGCTGTAACGGCGCTCTCTTATGCACACGATGCTTACGATTCATCCTAGAGCGACAAGCGGTTGCTATCTCTGCTACCACGGCCGTGTGCCGAGACTTTTGTACCTTGGAAGGCCTATGCCGGCTGCGGAGGGAAACCATGCCCAGTCGCCATGCTACAGTAAGCATCAGCTTGAACGCTTCTAGCCATTCGTCTCGTCTAGTCATCCATGGCTCGGTGAACCAATGCTTAGCCATGTCACATTTGCTAAGTAGGCAGGCCTGTGTCATTTGCCGATCATGCCTTTCTTCTTTTTGCCCTATTATTTCATGTTACTTTAGGTGAGTACTCGTTAATGACCTCATTCTGCCATGTAGCAATAAGCACAAGACTAGGGTATTCCTTCGTTGGTCATTTGTATGCATAGAACAGTCATAGCATAGGTAACGGTTTCCCTGGGTTAGGCAATATATGCTCGTAGCGGGTCAGCGGCCACCTTGCCGTGTAGAGCCTTCTTCACGCGCGACACGTCCACAGAAGAGTGTGTGGCCCTTTCTAATACTCACGTTATACGTGGTAGGGACTGACCATGCACTCCTGCTTCCTCCTCAAGCGGTCACCACACCATTAAAACACTCCTCTTTCAACATCGAAAAGCAAATGAACAACTGGTAATTTGTCATTCATCTATTGTTCTTCAATGCTCTTTCTCAACGCTTCAAAAGGGTATCATAGTTCCCAAAGTACACGGTATCCCTTCCTCTCCCTTCCACTCGCTCCAGTTTATGTGAACCATAGATCTGGCCACCTACTAAGAGGATATTTTTATCTTTATGCGTGTCCCATCAGACCTATAGAATGTTCGTGGTTTCTTGCTTATTATCTGAAGCACACCATTAGGCACTACCATTGTGAAGGCGGTGATGCTCGAGTAAATTGCGTAAAATATTCTCCTAACACTTAGGATTAACTATTTCACGTTAGAATATATGTTTGTCTTCCAAAAATTACGTCCAAAAACCATCTGGTAATGAAAACATGAGCAACCTCCGAATTCTTTCTCGTCAATGGTCCTTCCATTTGGCTTGTTAGTTAGTGTCTCATATTGGGATTCCTAGAGTGAAAATCATTGTGTTGATGTGAAGTTATATGTATTGTTCAGTGAAGTCAATAAAAGTATTCACTAACATATCGGTGTTGTGAACAATGACAGTTGGGTCCGTCAGCCTGGTTACTCAGAAGCACATTGCTATCTGAGATCTTGTATTCTCGTGTAAACAAGGTGACAGATCCACAACCGCACAAAAGTACAGTTGATATCGTCGCAATTAGTCGGCACAATGTCAGGAGGCATGGGATATGCCGATCAGCAGCGTTCCACTGGTTGTTTTCTTTTAAAACTGGTCACTATACAACAGGAGTCTTATTACACGCGTCCTGACATTTCCCGTCGGGTTGCGACGATCTCAACTGTAAGTCGCAAACCAGGGGCAGAAGGGAGATCTATTGCTTAAGAGCAGATAGCAGTGTCTGCCTGTCGATCTAGCTGTATTAGGGTGAGAACTGACATAAGTAATGTCAGTGTTTTCTGAATGGCTTACAGCTTTTGATTATTGGACATCACGTAACATGCCATGCTCGTGTAACATTGTCGAAGTTTTCTGCGATAGGTATATGTATAACGACGCCTGTTCTTTTCTAGGCTCGATCACAATGTCAGTTTCACAGGAGCAGCTTTGAGTCATCACCTTTCATAAGTGGCACCGTGGCACTGCAGCCACAGCAGCTGGCAGCAACATCGACAATGCATTGTGGGAGGACACCACGGGCATGAAGACTGTGTTACGTTCTCCTGTGCTACTTCTCGGACGTGAGGCTACAAACACCTTCCGAAAATTCGAAAGCAAGGTGGGAGACCGCACCTCATCCGCTACTTCCTTGACATAATGAACCCCTCCGAATACCACTTCCTCAACTGCCTGGAATCTCTACCGGCTGGGACAACTTTCAGCAAGTCCGTTGACATTAAATGCGGGATCGCGGAGTTCTTCGCCTAACAACTCCCTCATTGCCGAGAGAAAGGAATTGCTGGTCTGCCCTGAGGTAGAGCACTAGTGACTAACAATAGCGATTACATTGTTGAGTTCCTATTGCAAGCTGAATCAGAAAACAAAAGACAAAAAAAATTTCAGCAGTGACAGAACCTCAAAAGGGAAAAAAAGTTATAGCAGTGAGAAGACCTTCTTTCCAGCCTAATATAACGGTCCGTTCGACATATATCCTCGTGCGCGTTTTTTGTTTGGCCGAATGATTAGGCACTCTTTGCTTCAGCCGCTGCAGAAGTTATAAGTGGTTCAAAACTGACTAGGGATGGTCGCCAGATCGAATGCGAATTTGTAATGGGACATATCTCACGGGACGTGGCCGCAGATCTCGAATCTGCCTTCGGAATTTCTCCGAACGGAGTTGTTAGGCTTTTTCCTTCGCGTATACCAAGCAGCAGGTCGTAGGACTGGATCCCTGCTGAACTTGATTTTTTTTGCTTGTTGTATGAACATGGCAAAATGTAGTTTTAGCGTCATTACCATATCAGTGCTCACCTAAAGGTGCTTGGAAAAGAGTTTGTGTTCATGTTCACTCCTGTTCAGCAACGGATAAATCCTCTTGTACGAAACCTCTGCTTGTCCAGAATATCTGTTCTGTTAATGCTCCAGTTTTCCCGACAAAAGTACTGCCTCACTTTCTCAAAGATAGTTCAAAACCGGCTAGAGATCTGACTCCACGAGTAGTGTTCCTCTCTGAACACGCACACGCGCTTGTGGTATGCGTTACGAGCGCAAATATTTTCTTGTAGAGCGTAGGCGACTCAATCCGTATCATTAAGGATTACCTGGGACACCGACTGGATTCGTGCAATATGACCACATCAACGCTTGAAAACGTTCTCCGGACTTGAAGGAGACTCGCAAATGCAAAAAAAGTTGTCTCCTTCACAGCCGGAAACTTCACCTCATGCCTGCGAAGTATTACTCTTGCCATTGAACCATACTTCCACCTGTATTGCACTCGCTTTGCTGTTATTCATGAAAACTGACCGGCAGCCTGTCTTCGTGTCCCTTGCAAACAAGTCAACCTTCAAAACTCCATTCAGAAAAACACCTCCTGCGATCTGCCCCTCATTACAAATGGCCATTTTGACCTGATGACAATCCCCTGACAGACAAGACAAGCACGAGAATGAGCGAAAGCATTTAATAACGACTGAAAAGGCTAATAAGGGAATTGGAAAGAGAATCTCACTACATTTATATCTGTAGACGTTAGGCAAGGAAGTGGTAGAGGTAAGGGCGGCACTGATGACGGGTGATAATAGTATACGTGATATTTACTAATGAAAGCTGGTAGTAATGAGTAATATCTACTGATGAAAGCTGATGGAAGTATTCAGGTTCTTTGAGCCTCGGATAGCCCTTACATTAGCAGATCTCAGTCTTCGCGTAACGCTGTATGCGCTGTAACGCGGCGTGGCGCGCGTCGATACTCTAACATTGCAAAAGCTCCATAGCGCAGCCATGAATGCGTTGAGAGA